TTGATCTTCATAGAAGATCTACATGGCAATAAAATGGACTTAATAAACTACCAATTAAATCTATCTAAAATTTTACCTGTCACAACGTGCAAGGAGCCTAAGAAAAAGAAGATGTGTTGAAGAACGTTTTCATAAAATATATTATAGTAGAAAAGAAGAAGAAGAAGAAGAAGAAATTTTGAATTCTTCTCATCAATCTACCTCTACTACCTCACAACTATCTTCAACTCAACAATCTAGTACCATTCAACAATCATCATCTTAACAATCGACCACATCATTGATAATAATTATCAATCCAGTTGACAATAGAGAAATTATTATGAGGAGTCAATCTCACATGTCAATAATAACTCCAGATATCACGTCGCCTACCCTACTGAGAGACAACAAAGTCAATGCTCAACACCTATAGTTGAACCGCCTATCATAGTTGAACCCGCCCAAAGTCAACATTCAACTTCAATTGTTAAACGAGTTTCATCTGATAATCATGATCCTCTCAATAATATTGAGACAATGTTAATAAAATAAGGCAAACAACTTCGTATTTTATACGAAATGCAAAAAACATCGCTTGATAGAATTTCATAGCTTCAGATTCAAGTAAAAAAACTAAACAGTGATAAAAATAATGAGCTTAGTCAAAAAGTATTTAACGTAAGTAATAATTTAGTTTGTATTACATTATTACATTTAGATACTTATTTATTTATTGCTATATTATATAGGATAAATATAGCGCAGTATACGCTAAATTTTTCCAAATAACACGTGGCCAAAGTTAGAGAAATATTAATGATCATTAGAAAAATAGCTAAATTCAAGCTATTCAAATTATATTCACAAATTGGATAAACCAGAATAGATCAACACCTTTATTGGAAAACATCATTCTTTGGTAATTATTGTCAGTTAATTGTTAATTTTTAAATATTTAATTTTAATTTTATTTTATGATAGCTCATGCGAAAAATGAAAGACATGAGAGGAAGTCATGTTTCAGCAATCTAAAATGCTATTCTCAGAACATTCAAATTGCAAATGAAAAGTAATAGACGTAAAAACTCGAGAGATATCCTGGAATGGAAGTAATCCAAGAAAGTAAAAGACAATTATAACAAATTGTTCACTGATAGAACCATGATAGAAAACATCACTAATGTCACATTTCTATCGCTAGATAATGCTAATGATGAAGAATTTAACGATATGTATATCTACACAGCATTTGTATGCGATATTTTATTAAATCCAGATTGTCTCACTCTTGAAGTCACCAAGAAATTGCTGGAATTGCAATTAAAAAAATTTAGGGTATTATCGAATTCATTTTGTAATTTAAAATTAATTTTATTAATCAATGTCAAAATTAGAAAGCGCTTGATAAAAATGGTAAAATTGCACTTGACGATTCAACGTCAGTCTTACGTGAAGAAGTGCCCAGCGACAATTATAGCAAAAAGAAAGACAATGAAGATCATGAAGATGATGAGCCACCCAAAGACCAAACGATGTTTGGCGATATAAGTTTTAAATCATACAATGAATTATTTGAATAATAACGGTAATTATTTTAATTCATTCTATTTATGAATTAAGTTTTAAGTTTAATATCATTCATTTTAATTTTGCGATTTCGTTGCTTTTTGATTTAGGCTTCCGTTTACAGTTATTTTTATCGCTTATTTTTTTGCTTATTTTTTTTTTCTTATTAATATCCCTTAACATTATTTATATAGTATTTTATCATTATTATAATAAAATTTGCAAAGGATTACATTATTTTATATAGTATTTTATCGTTATATAATAAAATAAATGCATTTATCATATTGGTTAAATTTTGATTGTATTTCTTATTATTTAAATTATTTATCATTAGCATATTTATTAGTGTTTATCAAATTCGATACTTATCGTTTAAATATTTATCGATATTTATCATTTAGGTTAAAATCTGATGCTTTTATTACTATTTATTCACATCGATATCACTCGATGAGTGTGATTATTATCGATATATATCACATATTATAATTAATATGATAAATAATGATAAAGAGATATATATCATTATATATCTCCCGAAAAAATTTCCTGATGACAATATCATTAATTTTCGATAAAATCAAGCTAACCGCTCAATCAACTATTGCTCGCACTTTATCATATGGAGGAAGGGTATTATCCTCTATTATTAAATAAATCACAGATACTTCATAAAGAGTATTTAATAATTTTTGCAATAAAAGAGCTTCAACCTTGGCTATTAAATTCGATATAGTAAAAAAATGTTAATAAAAACATATTGATAAAATGTGAAGTTTTTAATGGCTTAAATATAAATTTCCCATACTGCTTTTTTAAATGCCATAATTTTTCACATTTTTTTCATATTTGGAAGAGATAGAAGAAATATGTAAGACACTTTATGCCAAAGTTTTATATTTAAGAGTAAGACATACAGAATATGTATTGTAGATCTCAACATTGCAAAGACATTAAAAAATATGTATATACATACTTTTTTATTTCACTTACTTGACTGCTTAATAATAAAGGTCTAATAGCATTATACAAATCAGTGTATAAAATTTAAACCAAAAGTCATGTGCACAAGTTATACTAAAAATAGAAAATTAATGTATGTATTACATAGTATTTCCATTTTTATAAATAATTTAAAAAAAAAAAAACTCTTTCTGCTTTTCCAAAAAAATGCCCAAAAAAACTGAAAGAAAGAACACCAACCACGGCCGTTCGGCGTCGCCTATATCTGATAAATTACCAAAGAAAAAGCAAAACACACAACAAACTGCTGACAACGACC